ACAAGTGGGCGGATAATTGAGGATGGCATTGGATGACCGTTGTCCGGCCGACTGTCCGCCGATATTTGAGGGTGTCTGTTTGATAATTGTCGATGGAGATGCCCTAAGGGGGGAAGCTTAAAGAAATAAATCAGTTTTTCTTTAAGCATCGATTGCTTATTTATAGAAGATAGACGTTTAATTAGGCATTTCCATATAGATAAGTATAGTGCTTAAGAAAAAAATCAATTTATTTTACTAAGCATCTTCCCCGACGACCTTAGAGCATTACTAGTAGAGCCCTCAAACCCTCAAACCTCTAAAAATAACCGCTTTTTTACAGTTTTCGCCAAAAACATTGTAGACTAGAACCTCTAAACCCTCAAACTCGTAAAAAAAAATTAGAGGTCCAACCTCAAACCACTTTGCAATCTGTAGAAGTAGGGGTTGAGGGGAAAATCGCCCCCCAACCCGCACTCCTCCTCCTCGCTCGCTCCTCGCTCGCGCGGGAGCCAACCGCTTCCTCCTCCCGGCCTCCTCCTCCCGCCGCCTCCTGCCGCGCCGGCCATGGAGGGCCCCGCCGCTGCCGCGCCCCCGCCCGCCGCGCCCCCGCCCGTCCCGCCCGCCCCCGCCCCCGCCCTCGCCCCCGCCCAACCGACCGTGGCCGATGTGGTGGCGGGGACCCACGTCGGGGCCAAGCGGCGGCGGGCGGGTCTCGCACCACCTCCTGCCGCCCCGACCACCGTCACTGCCCCGGCCACCGTCACCGCATTGGCGCCCGCCCTCGCCGCCTCCCCGCCGCCTGCCTCGGCCACCAAGAAGAGCCGGCTGAAGGCGGCCTCTCATGGGCCGCGAGGGGCGGCCTCCAAGGTTGCCGGCTCGTCCCCGGCCGTGACCAAGCCGCGGAAGAAGCCCGCGGCGCGGAAGAAGCCCGCGGCGCCGCCGGCGCCGAACCTCCTCCCGCCGCGCACGAGGTGTTCGAGGAAATGGCAAACTCATCCTCGTTCATGGACCTCCTCCAAAACGCGGAGGTGGACCTCGGAGCTCCGCCTCTAGACCCCTTTAGGGTTGGTGACGACTTGGAGGAGAAGGAGGAAGATGAGGAGGATGTAGGGGATGACGAGGAGGAGGTGGTCGAGATAGGGGAGGAGGCATTCACCGCCGCTTCCGGCCCACACGCGCAGTCGACAAACTACACCGAGGCGGAAGATGTCCTCTTGGTTCGTGTTTGGGCAGCTGTGGGAATGGATGCAACCACTGGCACCGATCAAACCGGTAAACGGTATTGGCAAAGGATCGAGGACGTCTATTGTAAGATCAAGCCGAAGAATAGTGGGTTCATCCATCGCTCTTTACGGTCGCTTCAAGGCCGGTGAGAGTTGATCAAGCCCGCTTGTTCTCGTTGGAGTGCGGCCATGGACCAAGTGATAGATGCACCACCTAGTGGAACCGTGGAAAGTGACTATGTGAGTACATATTTCTTCACTATTTTGATTATGTGTGTGCACTATGCTATTGGTGGGTTCTTATGTGATTTATGTGTGGTTGATAGGAGACAATTGCCGGCATGAGGTACAAGGAGATGGCCGCTTCCAAGGGCAAGCCATTCCCATTTAAGCATGTTTGGTCAATTCTTCAAACCTTTGACAAGTGGAAGTTGAGGGATCAAGAGACCGCACCCAAGAAGTCGGCAATGCTAAGGATGGATGATAGTGAAGATGAGGAGGAGAGGAACTTGGGCAAGCCCGAGGAACCAAGAAGGGCAAGCTAAGGGTGAAGATGGAAGAAGAGGTGTCAAGCCTAAGGAAGAAGATGGACCACATGATGAAGGCAAGAGAGGAATTGACAACGAAGACATTGGAGACGAAGCTTCTTATCACCGAGAAGAAGAAAGAGGTCAAGCTTGCACAAGTTGAAGCAAAGCGTGAAGAAGCAAAGCGCAAGGCCGAGTTGGAGGAGAGGATGATCAAGCTCAAAGAGGCAAAGGTATGGAAAGAACTCATGGTGGAAGAGAAAGAGCACATGATGATGTCCAAGAAGGACATGGATGAAGACCAATTGCAATGGTGGAAGGACTACAAGGAGGACATCGCGGAGAGGAAGAGGATGTTCCGTGTTGCGTCCTCTACTTTTCGAAGTGACACTCCGATGAGTAGTTGTGGTGATGGCGGTGTGTACGACTCCACCGGTGCCGATGAAGATGCTTGATGGAGCCCGCTTGTGGTCTAGGAGATGGCGCCGAGGTGCAACTTTTTGGTGATGGTGCCGATGAGAGGAGGAAGATGATGATTTTATGATGTAAACTATTAAACCATGCATCAATGATTGTCATTTGGTAGTTTGTTTGGAAGTTGATTGTGTTCTTGTTGTCATAAATTATGAGATGTCAAATGATAGATTTAAAGGTTGGGGTCGAGACAAAGACTAGAGCCCTCAAATCCAATCCTTAAAGCAGTTTAAGGGTTGGGTTTGAGGGTTCTAGTATTTGCCCCTGTTTTTCAATCCTTAAAAGTGTCAAAAAGTGGCACTTCTCAACCCTTAAAACTGCTTTAAGGATTTGAGGGTTTGAGGGTTTTACTAGTAATGCTCTTACAAGACCTAAAAAGACCAACCTCCAACAAAACTACTACATGGACGACAATTTCCAAACAAAGTGTGCACAATAGAGGAATGGACGGTGATGTCCAGGTGTGCACTGACGGCTTGATGAGATGGGTCGTCTGCAAATCGTCTACAGCCTATCGTGTGTATAGCATCTCAACGCTGTACTCCAAAGTTGGCCATCGCCTCCGCCCTACGCCGCGCCCCCAGGGCGGCGGCGGCCGCGCGCGCCCTTCTCGCCGCCCTGGGCAGCCCACGCAGCGGACGCGTCGGCCCTCCCCACCCTCGCGCGGCGCCCGTCGCCCCTCTCTCCTCCCTCTCCGCCCCGAAGCCGAGCGCCGTCGCCGACGCCCAACTCCTCCGGGTCATAACCTACGAGATCTCCCGCGCCCAGCTCGACTGCAGGAACCGCAACTGGGTAACCGCCACGCCTCCTGCACAAGGCTCGCCATCTCTCTCCCCTCCACTGCAGATGATTCGGGGAATAACACTGGCTGATCTGAAGATGTAACAATGGATTATCTCCTGCCAGGCGAAGGAACTAGGGGAAGGCTTCCCCTTCGAGATCAGAGACAAGGAGGGCACCAGCAGGATAACGCTCACGAGGACCCATCAGGACGAGCGGATCGAGGTGGAGGCGCTCCTGCCCAGCCCCGTCGCCGGAGCTGCGCAAGACGACGGCGAGCAGGAAGAGGATGACCAAGCTGAAGACGGCAAGAAACAGAGCCAGGCCGGTGGCGGTGTCCCAAACCAGTACTGCATCCCACTCACTGTGAGGATTCGCAAAGGAGTAGGAGCGGCTTCATGCTTGGAGATCGGCTGCCGCTCCTACCCCACGGGGTTCGTCGTCGAGAGGCTGGAGTTTGGATCGAGCGATGAATCTGCTGGTGGAACTGCTTTCAGGTAATTGGTGTAATGCCCTTGCGGTGATGGTTTGTCATGGCTGTTCTAGGTTTGCTTACACTGGGTTCACATCACATTGTTTGCAGCGGCATTCCTGGGGAGCTTCAGAAGGCTTTGCATCTCTACTTGGGAAGTAGGGGCATCTCGGCGCATTTTACCGACTTCATGCATGCTTACATGATAACCAAGGAGTGCCATGAGTACTTGTCCTGGTTGAGAGAACTCAAAGGTCTGGTAAAGGGTTGAATGGAGTGGAAGTTCAGGTTTATTTCTTTCTATCTGGGTGGTAGTTTGGACAAATGGTACTGTACTAGGAATGCATTCCTATGGAACATGAGTCCTGCAGAAATGATGTGAGATGGGGCCTAGAATTGTAGTATAACCTTTGTTATGTGGCATGTTAACATTGAGGCAAATGCTACTACAGAACTTTGTTTTAGCTGTAGTTGTACTGGGCCTTGGTCATGGACTGCATTTGGTTGTCAAGATTAAGCGAGGAACTGACCACTGCAACCATCTCTTCCTATAATATTTCGCAGTTTCACTGGTGCTACATTTATCGAGTACTCCTACAAATCCTGGTGAAAAATGCTTACCACTCTGCTGCTTGTTTGGTTTGAAGCTAAGCTGCTGCGAGTATGCGCCTTACCACAAGAATAAGCCTACAAAGTTCGTTACTCCCTCGCGCCTTACCACAAGAATAAGCCTACAAAGTTCGTTACTCCCTCCGATCCATACGAAAGTTGTACAAAAGCAGCATCACTATTAAACTTCTGGCAACCATAGGTGTGACAAGCTTTGATTGAGATCCAAACAGCCCAATGATTTGAACCGAATGTCATCTCAGTCCAAATTCCAGAATCGTATGATTAACCAGGCTATATCTACTTTTTCAAGCTTCGCCCATGAAATAATTAAGGCATTCATGATTTGTTCAGTTCGCTGGTTAAACCTAAGGGATGCACGTCTACGCAAACAACATACCTCACATCAATTAGCTTACTATGCTGGATAGAAACATGAGAAAACCATGCATTCACAGCAATGGATTGTACAAACAAAAAAGAGCTTCACATTCTTGCTAACCACCGTTGTTGTACAACACGGTGGCAGAAAGTTCACCAGGTGCAAATTTAGATTGCAAACTTAGTAACTTCGCACTGGAACGCACACAGTGAAATTCCCTTAACTACACAAGTCAAAAATCTTGAAAACAGACACTCCCAAGGTCTATCAAATCTAGGGTCAATATGTATGTAGGGTGAAACTAGTCCACTGCCTGGTCCTCAGAAAGATGAATGGCAGAACAGAACGACGGGGACACAAAGAAAACATCCAGCTCACCTGCTAAAAGGAAAAAAGAAGTGTGTCAAACAGCTTGCCCACTTTACTATAGAGTACTCAATAACATTAAAAGCGTGGAGTTGTTCAGAAGGGTGTAACGGAATATTTGGAAGTGGAATTGAGGATATGCAGTTCGACAAGAGTAGCCGACCTGAAGCAACACAGAATAGATCTCAGGCAAAAAAGAAAACTTTGATGAACAGTGCCAGAGCAAACTGCAGCACTGATGCACTTGCGATCAAAGCCATCATATCAGCTCCTTCGGTGCATTCCTTCAAGTTTAAAAAGATGAACCAAGATGATGCACCACCAGCACCAGCTATGATGACCCAGCGAAGAAATTCCACAGGAATAAGTAGCAGTATCTGAGGCAAAGAAAAATAGCAGAGCAATCTGTGTTAGACAAGCAAGTCACCCTTTGCATGAAAGAATAGAGTGCTAGCCAAAACATGGACAACCATAACATTACATGGATTATTACTTTGATAGAGTCAATTCTCTGACTAGATATTCTTTACATTATATATAGTTGCATCAATGAATGAAAATTCTCACGGAAGTTCAATAAAAGGTACGTACGCAATGTGCTACATGTTCTTGCTTGTAAAAAAATATAAATGTACTGGGATAGAACTTAAATACTTACAGATGCTGGTACGAAGATAAACAGAGAATAGCCCCACATACACCAAAACCGGATAAGGCTTGGGCGTGATCCAAAGTACTGAAACAGGAAAAAGAATGCAGCAGGTACCACGATAGCATAACCGTACATGACTGATGCCGCCAAACTGAAATAGCTAACATCAAAGTTCCATATGTTCAGATCACTTTTCCTTTGCATTAGATAAGTGGCAAAGTTTCCGAATGCAGCCAGCATGAATATCAGTGTAGTGGTAATCCATAAGGGCCCATACCTGCAGAATAAAGAAAATGATTATCACAGATCGAAAAGTAGGCTCAGAGATAAAATGTAGTCATAACAATGCAGTAAGAAACTCAAGTGCAAAAGTGGGTGAGGAGTTCCTTAAAATTATGACTTGTCGTGTTCCCTTAAAAATTATGTTGCTAGCATAACAAACCCCATTCTGCTATACAAATTACAAGTTACAACATATATCTGTTACACCATATTTGGTATTTCTCTAGAATGTCTATTAAATTATCGCACTTCCCCAATAAAAAAATTCATCTGATGCTAGTGCTAGTATTGCTTCACTACACAATTCTGGCATGTTCCAACAGTGCTCTCAATAATACTGCAGCATGTGCATGTGCTGCAACTTATGATATCACTTGAGTGTAATGATCTTTGTGAATTGCCCATATTATGAGCTATATACTTGACCATTTGCCTCAAATCATTTACTACAGACTGTGGTACTTAGAACTCAAAAATTTCAAACTTGGAAGCAGGTAGAAGCTTGGCAATACACTTACATGTCAGGATTAGCATCTATCTTCCTGAAAAATCCCTCCATTGGATAAACTGAACTGATAAGTCTGTCAACAACGACATCAGTATCAACATTGAAATATGGAGTATAAGAGGCAACATTGAAGTATCCTTTCCAGTTTGTCTGTGTTTCTACATCTCCACCTGCAAAGAGGGTAAACAAAGACTTCAACATAGAACAACAGGTGCAAAAGAAACATCATCCACATCACCACATGCAATTTAAAATGAAATATTGAGAAAAATCCTATCATCTATGCATTGTCTGGGATAAAGGCCAAAGTAACAAACAAAGAACTAATGCACGATAGTGCTTTCTTTGGACTGGAGACTTCTAGAAAAATCATAATTACATTATTTTTCTGAAGACCTAAAAATGGTGCGCCGTAGGCAAACAATAGCAGTCATGAAATGCACAATATTATTATCATGTGCTCCATACAGCAGCTATGGTACGCAATCTCTATGACTCATGCAAACAGAAGTTGCTATAAGCTCTATATTAGTATTTTGCACATGCAGCTTTAACAAAGTATTACCAGGATATATATATACACATACTAATATCACATCGGGACGGAAACCATGGGGAGGCCATGTCCTTTGTTCAAGATTTCTCACACCAGAGACATCACAGCTATACTCAGGCCCTTCCGGACTGAAATCTATAAACCCTACACTTGGCCCATTGGAATGTAAATACAATCACATAAGCAAGTAAGATATCCACTTCGCATCCCACCAAACCAAAATGTATCCGCACACATTACCCTGGTACATCGTGTATGCAGAGCTGGATTCATTCGAATATTGCAGACAAACTAATTACTGTGGATGGAACACGCTGATAATTAATTTAAGAGGCCAGTTCATTACCTAGAGGACTCCCTGGAGGCTGGTAACCTCCTCCGTTGGCAGCAGGAGCAGGCGGAAACTGCTGCAGGCGCGAGGTGGCAGCGGCATTTCCAACTGAAATGTAATTAATGGCAATTAATGTAACCTCAACCAAGCAGCGGCAGCGGCAGAACTAATCTGAAACGCACGCGCGCGCGCGCACGTACCTTCGGCCGGGGCACCGGGCTTCCTCTCATCGGGAGCCACAACCACAGCCTGCAGATGCAACAGAATCGATCACCCCAGCTCAACAACAACGCCAACCCTAGCGAGACGAGATGCAGGAAACGATTAGGGGGGAAGGGCGTGATCGGTACGGGGACGGAGCCGAGGAGGTGGCTGGTGGGGAGGCTGGCGTAGCCCTCGTCCATGGCCGCTCACGCGTGGTCGCTGCAGTCGTCGCCTATCGGCAGCTGCGCATGGCCGCGTCGCGTCGCCGGAGTGGGGATTTGGATCGAGGATTTTTGGCGAGTGGGGAGGGGATGAGGGGGGAAAGGGGAAAACTCTGCCGTGGGGAAGTCGTCGTCGCACGGCCCTCGTGCTTTGCTTCGGAAAGAAGGAGGTCACACCTCGTGTGGCTGTTTTGTTTTTTGTTTTTTGTTTTGTTTTAGAAACCCTCGTGTGGCTGGTTTTTATTTAGGGTAATATCTAGATTTTATTGATCAAAACCACATGAAGTGAGATAGAAAAAAGATCGTGGGGTTAAAATCAAACATGGCGCCCCTCGTGTGACTTTTTCTTTTTTTAGACAAACTCCAAAGCTTTTTATTCAGCCGTCACAATGTTTACACGGACGAAAGGAAGTCATTCCGACTGACCCAACCACACATGCCTGCTAGCCGGTAGGGATAAAGCATGCTTCGTGAGCTTGTGAGTCTCGACATTCGAGCTCCTAAATTCATGACTAATGTCGGTGTCCTGGGAACGGGGGTACCTAGACTTGCCTGTCTGCGGCCCACGGCGTGGCTCCACCGGCGGCCTGGTGCGGCCCATTATCTGCAGCTACAATTCAAGACTCTCGCGAGGGGCCAAGCCTTGCGAGGCGGGCGACGCCAAGACCTCCCAGGGGCAGCCTCACTAGGCTGGCTCCTGAGGAGCGGAGATATCTATGCAAGGGGCACCTTGTGAGGTTCACGTGACGTGAGCCATGATAACCAAAGTCAGGCGTGCGCCAGCGGACGCAGTGTACCAGTTTCCTCTTTGGTGCTAAAGAGACAGGCGCAGGCGAGGAGTCCCGAGGCATCAGGCAAAGATTTCCTTATCGGTGCAACAAGACCAAGGCCAGCAGGACGAAGGTCATCATGGAGCCCACAGCGGCATCACTACCAGAGTCTTTGGCATGCGAAGACCACCTTTTATCAGGATAACTTGTATTGGTTGTCCCCCTTCAAACTTGGCCGTTGTTGGATCCCTTCCCGCCTAACATTTGGGAAGAGGATCGGGGCCTCTATAAATAGAGCTAGCCACCACCATAGCAAAGGGGAGGTCATTCGGACCATCCGCACACACCAGCTCATCGGGCTCAAGAACACCTCTCCTCAAGAGGCAGTTCATCCATTATACTAATTCATCCCAAGCCCTCGAGGCAATCCACCACCACTACATTGGGTAGGGTATTACACCACAACGGTGGCCCGAACCAGTATAAACCTCCGTGTCCCGTGTTTCTTGGGTTCGTCGAGCTCGGCCTTGAGATCATTGTGCGAGCGAGATAGATAGATAGAGAGAGAGAGATTATTTCGTGCGCACCCTAGTGTTCGAACCTCAAGGGTTAGCCGGAACCCAAAATCCGACATTTGGCGCGCCAGGTAGTGGTGCGCCGAAGCTTCGCCTCTCCGCTTGCTTCGTCCTGCTCCCATGGCAGACGTCACTCCTCCGATTAGGCCGGCGGGCACCTACGGATGCGCCGCGGCCATCCGGGCCTTCACCCTCGCTTTGCGGCAGGTGTGGTGGCCGCGCAAGTTCAAGCCAGAGATACCGCCCCGCTATGATGGCGCGACAGATCCAGCGGCCTTCCTGCAGACGTACGAGGAGCCCGTTCTCGAAGCCGGAGGCGATAACCAGGTCATGGCCAACTGGTTCCCCATGGCCCTGGCCGGCGTGCCACGCGCCTGGCTGCTCAGTCTGCCAAGATCCTCGATAGCCTCCCAGGAGGAACTGCACGGTCTCTTCGTCGCGCGCTTCGCGGCACAGGCGCCCCCCGCCGTAGTAGCCCTCCTTGGTGGTTCGCGGGCGCCGCCCTCGGATCGCCACGTCAAGTAGTTCATCTGCCAGATGGGCGTCGCCCGCGTGAAGCAAGGGGCTCCCCCGGGATGGGCGGCGCCACATGCCGACCTCACCTTCAGCTCGGAGGACCACCCAGCAATCACCACGGGTTCGGGCGCGCTCCCAATGCTCTGCACACCCACCATCTGCAACGTGGATGTGACTAAGACCCTCATCGACGGCGGAGCCTGTAAGTGCATCTAGTGCCACCCCTAGTTGGTTTTGGAGTATTGACGACAAACCTAGTTGAGGGACTGATGTGTTTGTGAGAATTGCAGGATAACACAGGTAGAAGTCCCTCATTGATTCGGTTTTCCTACCAGAGATGGCCCCTAAAAATGTATGAAGACATTGATGTCAAAGGTGGTATATGAAGATATTCTCATTGAAGACTATGACAAGAGAAGACATCGCATGAAGCCTATGGAGCTCGAAGACTTAGATCTTTTGTAGTTCTGTTTCTTCTTTATTGAGTCATCGGAACCACCGTACTGTTAAGTGGGGTCCAAGTGAACCAGTCAGAATGACTGAAGTGATGCTTAACCAAAACCTATGTCTTCGAGTGAAGACTATGAGAGCGAAACTTGTCCAGAGTCGGACAAGTCAGCTTTGCTTGTAGCCCAAGTAAAGCTGCCGCGTGAGTTTGAAATCTGACCGTTGGAACACGTGTCAGTTCCTTAGTGGCCCAGGGTCATTTCGGACAAATCAGGCCGGGTTGCCTAGTGGCTATAAATAGCCCACCCCCTACAACCATAAACGGTTGGCTGCTCAGAGTTAGAGTACGGCTTTTATCGTTTGAGAGCAACCCACCTCGAAGCCTTTGAGAGAGAATTCCTTGCGAGGATAAAGCCCTAACCACCCAGAGCCTAAGAGTGTTAGGCATCACTTAAGTCTTCTTGTCTGTGTGATCTGAAGACTTATTACACTTGAGGACTGTGAATCCTCCAGCCGGTTAGGCGTCGCATTCTGAGCATCCAAGAGACATTGTGGATCGCCGGTGAACGAAGTCTGTGAAGGTTTGGGAGTCTACCTTGAAGACTTACCAGAGTGATTGGGCGAGGTCTGTGTGACCTTAGCTCAAGGGGAATACGGTGAGGACTGGGTGTCCTGAGCTGCGTGTTCAGGACTGGGTGTCCGGGACTGTGTCCTCAGGTTTAAATACCTAGCCGCCCTAACCAGACGTACAGTTATCATAGCAACTGGAACTGGTCCAACAAATCATTGTCTTCAACGAGTCACTGGTTTCATCCTTCCCTTCCCTTTACTTACTGTTGGTCCTTGTGAAGTCATTGTATGATTGCACTATCTTTTGTCTTCACTGAGTGACTGCATGTTCTGTTTGTCTTCATAATATCTTCCTACCTGATCCTCACTACATTGCTGCTATTAGTCATTGTGCTTTTACTTCATTGAATACTTGACTATGGTTTGCCTAGTGTAGTCTACCTTCCGCTGCATGGTAATAGGTTTATTTCTATCATTTGTCTTTGAAACTTTCACGTTTTGAAGACTTTCATAAAAATCACCTATTCACCCCCTCTAGTCGATATAACGCACTTTCAATTGGTATCAGAGCAAGATACTCCCTTGTTCTGTGTGATTCGGTTTAACCACCTGGAGTTTTAGCTATGTCGACTGCAGGGATAATTAAAGTCTCCGCTGCGTGCCCCGTCTTCGATGGAACTGAATATCCCTACTGGAAGAATAAGATGCGCATGCATCTTGAAGCCATTGACGTCGACCTATGGTATGTCGTCAAGAACGGCGTTCCCAAGCCTGGAGAAGGTGTTACTGCTGCTGACGTCAAGAAGTTCGTTCAACTGGACTCTACTGCCAAGAATATCATCTGTGGTCATCTGACCAAAGGACAGTATGGCCGCGTGAGTGCTTTGGAAACATCTAAGCTAGTCTGGGACTGGCTCTCCAAGGTCAACGAAGGCGTCTCAACTCAGAGAGATCAGAGAATCGGTGTCCTTCGCAACCTCTTCAACCGCTTCAAGCGAAATGACAATGAGAATGTCCAGCTCAAGTTTGATCGACTCACTGACATCACAAATGAGCTTCAATCCCTCGGCGCTACTGAGATCACCAAGCATGAAGTCATCAAGACACTACTGAGATCACTTGACAGTTCGTTTGACACCCAAGCCCTGATGATTCAAGAACGTCCTAATTTCAAGACACTCGATCCGTCTGACATACTTGAGAGGCTCAACACACATGGGTTTCAGCTTTCTCAGAAAAGAGATATCTACGGTCCAAACTATGGGCGAACTCGTGCCTTGAAGGCAAAAGCTGTCTCCTCATCTAAAGAAGAATCTAACAGCAGTTCTGATGATCCTGAAGACATTGGAAAGGAACTTGCTATGCTTGTGAAGAAGTTCCAAAAATTCACCAAGAAGAAAGGTTTCAGAAAGTCTTCACGATCAAGCTCAAGGAATGATGAAGCTTCTGCTCATGACTACAAGAAGAAAACATGTCACAAGTGCAAGAAACCTGGCCACTTTATCTCTGAGTGTCCGCAGTGGGACAATGAGAACAAAAAAAAGAAGAGCAAGGAATATGACTCTGACGACAAGAAGAAGAAGAAATACTCAAAGTCTTCTTCCAAGTCTTCCTCAATGTCTTTATCACACAAGAAGAGATCATCTGGCAAGGCACGTGCGTTTGTTGGCAAGGAAATGGATTCAGAGGAGGAGTCCACTTCTGAGGAGGCAGAGGTGGAGTCTGAGGAGGAGTCTGATTCTGGCGTTGCTAGTCTGGCTACAGCATACGTTGCCAAGTCCATCTTCAACACTGAAGACAATGCCGACACCAATGCAAATGACAAGGACTACTCCGCTCCTACCTACTGCTTCATGGCACGCGGTGCCAAGGTAAACACACGCGCTACTCAATATCAAACATCTAGTGAAGATGACTCTGATTGTGGTTAAAAACCCAGCTACAAAACACTTGCTAAAATTGCAACTGAACAACAGAAAGCTATGGAACATATTCAAAAACTGTTAGACAAAAGCGATGATCTGTTAGGCGCTGAAATGACTCGATCTGAGTCCTTAATTGAAGACATAAAAAATCTTCACGTTAAGTATGAGGAACTTGA